ACACACACACACACACACACACACACACACACACACACACACACACACACACACACACACACACACACACACACACACACACTGACCAACTAAGAAACATTGCTGACTAAACAATTAAGTGTTTGATACCATTTCAGATAAAGAAGTTGTTGCAGATGCATGCTGGCTTATCCTACTTAACCGATGGTACAAATGAAAAAATCCAAGAGGTTATCGATGCTGGTGTCGTTCCTCGTCTCTGTGAACTTCTTGATGTTGATGAGGTGTCTATATTAACTCCATCTCTTCGTGCAGTTGGAAACATTGTAACTGGTAATGATGCACAAACTCAGCATGTGATTGACTGTCAGGCCTTACCACCCTTCAGAAAGCTACTCTGTAATAAAAAAATAAATATTCAGAAGGTAAGTTGCATACTTTATTAAGTTAAAATTCTTGTTCTTACATTTTAAAACCAAAACAAGTTTTTGACAGTTGTTAAATCTTTACTTGGTTTCTTGAGATTTTATTGAGGAAAGTTCTTTCAAGGATTCACAATACTTGGGGATATAGTAATTTGAAGAATATCACTTAATAACACTGAACTACATTACAGCAAGATATTTTAATCCAGCCCAAACAATATTCTATTATGGATATGTTAAACATCTTTTAAGTAAGTGTTGCTGTTACAGTGATCATGCACGTGCATCTTGTAATTGAAATGCATTTTCTACAGGTTTTCAGTACACTATTTTTTTATTGCATGTAATAAAAAATGTTTGGACTTCATTGTTTCTGTGGAATGTTTAATTTTTCATTAATTAAGATGTGGTATGTTAAAAAAAAATAAGTGGATTATAACTGTGAACAGAGCTTAAACTTAAGGGAGACACTGATGTCTAATTTTTTTGGTATCTCTCAATTTGGTTTTCAGTTTCTACAAAGAGCAATGACTTCGTGAAAAGCTGCTACAGTCCTCTGTGTAGTAGCATTATATGAACAAAAAAAAGTCATGCAATGCCAAAGTCTATCGCTGTTACAACTTGTGGTGAGGATTGCATCAGTTGTTTTTACACTAGCTTGTCAAATACAAAGAGCATCAGAATTTTTAACCACTTAATTTAAAAAAAAAAAAGTGAGACTAGGTGGAATACTTGCAATATCTCAAGTGTGAATGAAAGGCATGCTTAAATTGGATAATTTTATAGAGGCGAGTCACAGAATACATGTAACTAATACCAACATAAACCTAAGCGTGTATTTAGCATTTATGTGACTTTGTTGCAATAACAACAGGAGCTTGTGAAATGCAGTCATCAAAGATGTATATCTTGGGCAGTAGAGCACTTTTGAGACTGATTCCATGTGATGTTTAACTTTCAACTAAAATAGTTAAAAGCTAATAGCAATGAATCATTGATGCTTGTCAATTACAAACTTTTTTTAAGTTTATGGAAAATCTATTTAGATTGCAAGTATTAAGTTTATTGCATTTTTAATTGTAATGATTAATCATTTGAAGTGTAGTCTTATAATTAATGCAAAAAAATTAATGAAGTTTGCTTCTTTTGCTAATCACTAAAACCCAGTTGTCATCTGTAAAGTACATTCTAATTTATTTCCAGTTTTAACTAAAACAGTAGCTCATAATAACTTAGCACTAATGCAAAAAATTGGTTTAAGTTTTACAAAATCTAGTTTCCTCAAACTTACGATAACACTGTCTTTGCAGTAGTTATATTGGTGAAACATTGTGGATTTGACATAAGATTATAACCTAGTGGTAAAAAAAAATCTAAAAAATAAATTACCAGATCCTTTGGTAAAATGCTAAAAGGCACATTGTAACAAAATTTAGAACCCTCTCCTAAATAAAGTCACAAAAATATCTACTTGTAATATGTAGCTGCCATTGAATTTGATTTTAAAAAAAAATTATGAATTTCTTTCAGATTCAGATTACCATTTTTCACACTAGATCAGATTTTTTTTTTTTTCTAGAAGCTTGAATTAATGAAACGTACTCAACACTTTTTTGACACTTCTAATATTCCATTACTCCAATGAGTCCATCTGGCAATGACCCAAGGAATCTACAAAGAGGCCTAAAGTTTCAACAGTTATATTGGCAGCAGTGGTACAGGCATGAATTGGATTTTGTTTTGTATGCCATATACAACAGCTGGTGTACTTGGGTCATTGTTGCACAAAATACATTTTACGAAACAGGCACTTGATCTTGTCGCTCATCTTGTGTACATCCCCAAAGTGTGAAGCTGTCAATCTTTGACTTCTCTCCTCTTTCCATTTTGGGTTTCTGTTCTGTTCTTTTGTTTTGCTCTTGATATTATCCCTAACCTTATTTTTTAATAAGAGTTAGCACAAAGGATCACATATAAAGTGTAATAGACTTTTGTTCTCCTGAAGAAGAATAGTCAACTATTCGAAAGTGCTCGAGTTTTGGGTCTTATTTTAAGTCCTAACCTTCTTTGATACCTGCAATTCCATTAAAAATTGTTTTTCTTTGATATTCACACCCTGTTAAATAAGATTGCTGACTATTTGGTCTATAGTCAAAGTTGTTTGCCAATAACTTGAGCATTTGTTTTTTGCCTTGGGCATCTGAGCCATCTTTGTGACTACCATCTCTGTAGTACTGTTAGGCTTTGTATTTTTTCAATACAATAAATGGACTTTTGCTGAAAGAAGATTTCCAGGTTAAAGTGTACCATTTGCCATGATAAACTAGCACTTTGACAACACCAGTGATATGCACATATGACTTGGCAAAGTTTCTTGTGTCATTTGAAATCAGTCCATCAGATTTTTCTACAAACATGTCTACAGTAGTCATAATGAACAAAAATAAGACTTTCATTTTTTGTGGCTTCCAAAAACATATGGTCAATTCTTTAAACAATCTGAGATTTTGTACACTACTGGAATTATCACTGTTGTACTGAGTTGCACCTCTTTCACTTTTAGTCATGCAAATTATTCTAGAATAATAGTTATTTCACATTTTCTTTGCTTAGGGTAGTTTCTGACCATATGGTTGGCACATTCAACCTTTTCGACGACTGGCCATAAGTTACTCTTCCCAAAACTTTTATAAACACTTGGATAACCATCACCAATTAGTATCTTATACCTTACTCTGTGCATGGATTCACTCTTGCAGAGACCTACAGTAATATTGGGTTGCAAAATAGGAGATGATTTGTTCCAGTTTTGACAACATTTGTTCTCTTTTCTCATCTGGGGCACTTGTGCAGTGACTCCAGCCACCATCAGTAGTTACTATTATCCATGGAACTTCATCAGGATTCACATTCCTTGCTTGCATCTTGAGTTAATTGAAATTCTTCTTTTCCATTTGTGACTGACACTGATATTTTTCAGACTTGGGAAGAATGTATACAAAGTTGTAATAATTTATTTCCAGGGATTTCAGCAAATATATGTAGTTATCTGATAGTTCTTTTTCATTGTTTATGGACATTTTACTAAATTTGTATTATGAGTACAAAAGGTACTTTTTGTTTTTACTTTTATTTCATAAAGATCATTAGCAATAGATCAAATGTAGGGAAAAATGATCTTTTCTTATAAATTAATGTGTTGTGTATGAAATGGTTATACATTTACAATGTTCAAATGAAACTGCTCATTACAGTCATAGTTTATAATCATATAAATACTTATAGATACTGATACAAAATACTGTTGTAATTTAAAACAATATCTATATTATGTCCAAAACAAGAATTTGGTACTGTGGAAATAAATAAATTACAAAACTGAACATTCATACTTGTCCCAATTTTTATTTGTATTTTTGGACCTCTTCTTCTTGTACATGACCACTTCCTAATGTGGTGAATCTCCAAACTACTGAAAAATTTGTTTCCTTGTGCATGTGCTGGACCTGATCGAACAATTTGTTTCCTCCACCTTGTGCATGTGCTGGACCTGATCGAACAATTTGTTTCCTCCACCTTGTGCATGTGCTGGACCTGATCGAACAATTTGTTTCCTCTACCTTGTGCATGTGCTGGACCTGATCGAACAATTTGTTTCCTCTACCTTGTGCATGTGCTGGACCTGATCAACAATTTGTTTCCTCCACCTTGTGCATGTGCTGGACCTGATCGAACAATTTGTTTCCTCCACCTTGTGCATGTGCTGGACCTGATCGAACAATTTGTTTCCTCCACCTTGTGCATGTGCTGGACCTGATCAAACAATTTGTTTCCTCCA